CTAGCCTCCTTCATCCTGGCCTCCCCTGCCAAGACCTTCTGAGCGCAGCGTTTGAGCCCCGCCGTGGCAAGCCTGTAGGCGCAGCCCGTGGTCGCCACGGCCCCCTCGAGAAGGGGCTGGCGCGGTGCCGAAGGCGGTGGCGCAGCGGACCCCGTGGGCAACGCCTCCACGCGAGCCAGCTCCTCGGCGCCCTTTCGTGCCCAGTTTGGCGCGCAGCGAGGCCAGGGCGGCGTCGGCCTCGGGCGGGTCCGGCGTCGTGGAGCCGCCGTTCGGACACCAGCCGTCGCATTGGTAGGCCCACGGGCGGCCTCAAGTGGCACCTTCTTTGGGCTCACTTTTCGGTGGCGGAGGAAGTTTGTCCCTCTTGCCCCAGCCCTTGCCTGGAGCCCCGTGGGGTCCTCGGGGAACTCGTGGAAGGTCGGGGGCGTGCAAACATGGATTAGCGATCCCTCCCCAAAATGCGGCTGGTGCCGCCTCGCTCGGCGGCGGAAATCCGCGATTTCCAATCGAAACGAGAACCGTCGCTGATCCACGCCCCCTTGATCCATGTTTGCGATCGCCTGAGCAAGGCGAGTCCAGCACCGCGGGCGGTCCAAACGCCCACTGGCCCCGAAGGCGACGAACCGCCTCCGGGAGCTGCCACCAAGGGCCCCGCGCACTGGAAATTAGCACCAGCGGCTGCTCTGGAAGCCCCAGCGGAAGCGACAGGGCGGGCACGGTCCGTGGAACTGCTGCGCCTTGCCTCCACGCTCGCCTCCACTGCCGCGGGCCATGAAGACAGTGGAGGGAACTGGGCCGCCAGAGAGCCCCTGAGGTGCTGGGTGAGATGAAAGGATGTCGTCGCAAGCGCTCTGGCTCTGGCCGGGGGCTAGCGGTAGTTACGCGCTCCGCTGGGGAACTCGGCATCTTCGGCCAAAACGGCTACGAAGACGGAGGAGGAGCAGCAGCAGCACCACCACCACCAGGAGGGGACGAGGAGCAAAATGACCGAAGAGGAAGAGGAGCAGTAGGAGGAGGGCCGCAAGAGGGAGGAAAAGAAAGGACGGCGAAGGGGAGGCGACGGGAAGACGAGCGATGGGGAAGGGGTGCGCAAGATGAGGGAGAAGGACGGAGCGGGGGCAGAAGACAAATGGAGGGAGGACGAGGGCGAAGCCAACGAGATGTGGTGGAGGCAGGACGGAGTGGGATGTCACGCCTAGAACGAGAAGGAGAACGAGAAGGGTGAGGCCCTGCGAGGAGAACAAGAAGGGTGGCCCTGCAGGACTGGAGCGAGGAGGACTAGAACGAGGACGACAACGGGGAGACAAACATGTAAAACGTGCAGGGCGAGACGGGGAAGAGGAACCGTATCCGCTCCTGCCTCCACTCCTCCACCCCATCCTCCCTCTCATGCGCATGCCACGATTGGGCCCGTTGGGGGGTTCCAAGTCCGCGAAGTATGACACGCGTCGGCGGACAGAGAAGAATTCAGCGCAATGGGAAGGGACGTGTGGTCGGGGTAGGATGTCAGATATGGCGCGAGCGCACCTGGCTTGCCCTCCCTCCTCTCGTCGGTCTCCCCATCCCCCCCCCGTCCATGTGTCTCCTTCTTCCCCACCTGTCGGCGTGGCATGCAGGCGCCGAACGCCTCACCCCCGCGTGCTCAACGTGTGACCCCCGTCTGGCGGGATACGGACGCCACCAACCCGGCCCTCTGGCCCCGGTTTCGAAGAACGGACCCGCACAGGGTAGAGGGGGGGTGAGGGGCGCTTCAGGTATCGAGAGCGGGCCACGCCGTCGCGCGTGGACCAAACCCGAGATAGGGAACCGTGAAGTAGTCAGGGCGGCGCTGGGCTCCAAGGGAGTTGCTTAAGTGCCATCAGAGCCGTCAGAGCACTGACGAGAACAGCTGGAAAAGCTGGCATCGGAAAGAAACATATACATCAACGCAGGCCAACTGAGGTGAAATAAGAGGCCGAGCGTCGACGGGAAATGCGGTAACCAAGTCCACATCTTTCACAATTAAGTAACCGTCAGCGCATGCACGGTTTGACGAACAGTCGAGAACGCAGAAGTTATACGAAGTGGGTATGAACATGTATAGTAGTCCCACCAGCCCTTCAGGGGGCGTGAGTGGTTTAGGGCGCTTCCTCTTCCTGTCTGCCCCTTAGAGGAGGGGCTATTACTCAAAACGCCCTCCCTCACGCGACTTGCAAGCAACCAGGAGCAATGGCAACACCACCACACCATCCGTTTCAAAAACAATAACTTTGGGAAAACATCTCGGCTCATGCTCGTGGGCTCCGCGAGCACGTTGCATTGTTTCTGATAAGGGCGGCGGAGGTGTTATCAAATCGCCTGCTGTGCTGCAACATCCGCTTCGCGGCTAAATCTGAATCATGCACGGCCGCACCACGATCATTGCCCATTGACTCTTGACACAGACGGCGGGGGTACTGGCATATTGCCTGCTGTGCGCAGTCACATCAGACACCATGATGGCCTCCCCGCCGCGACTGTGCACTGGCTTTCGACAAGGATGGTGGAGGCCGACATGTTTCCCGATGTGTACTATCACGTGCGCGGGCGCACCTGACGCACTCTGCACGTGCCCCGAAAGTGGCGCGCGTGGCGCAGCTGGACCATGCGGCGCACATGGCGCACGTGGAGCACGTGGCGCATCTGGCGCGTCAGGCGTGCCTGGCACGCTTGGGCCTGGCGCACCTGGCGCACGTGGCGCGCCTGGCACGCGTGGCGCACCTCGCCCAAGCGTCACGCACCTGGGGTCGGCTTCGGTTCCCAGTAGCTGTCCATCCGTAGGCGCACGCTTGACATGCTAAAGCTCGGGTGCTACTCATGTGTTGGGAGGGCGGGCGGGAGTGAGCGAGACAGCTTGCGGGCGGGGAGGGCGTCTTGACCACTGTCCCCCTATGAATATACAGCCTTCCCCACCCGGCCGGCGGCCAACCCAGAACCATGCCAACCCCATGAGGACCAACCCCCGCCCATCATCCCAATCAAAAACAATACAAAACGAACTATGCTTCCACATTTGGAGCATGCGCGGTCAACCCGATGCGGCCCCCCACCATCCCTGTTAAAAACAATACAAAGTACTCCTTGGGGCAAAGTCTTGAGTCATGATCGTGAGGCCCGCGAGCACGTTGTATTGTTGTTTTGACAGGGACGGCGGGGGTATCAGCATATTCTCTGCTGCGCACAGGGCTACCATCCCTGATGCACCTCTCGGCTAAATCTGGATCATGCGCGGCCACCCCGCGATCACTGTCATATGGTCATGTGGTTTTTGACAGGGACGGCGGGGTTGGTGGCGCGTGGCCTGCTGTGCGCAGGTCCACCAGACGCAATGGGCATTGGTTTTCGACCAAGATGGTGGGGCCCGACCTGTTTTCCGATGTGCAGGTGCACCTGACGCACTCTGCACCGTACCCCGACCGTGGCGCACCTGGCGCGGCTGGAATGTGCGGCACACGTGGCGCACTCGGAGCACGTGGCGCACCTGGCGCATCAGGCGTACCTGGCACGCTCGGGCCCCAGGAGTGCCTGGCGCACGTGGCGCGCCTGGCACGCGTGGCGCACCGCGCCCAAGCGTCGCGCACCTGGGGTCGGCTTCGGTTCCCAGTAGCTGTCCATCCGTAGACGACCGCTGAACATGCTGAGGCTCGGGTGTCACGTATGTGTTGGGAGGGCGGCCGGGAGTGAGCGAGACAGCTTGCGGGCGGGTGGACAGCTTGGCCCCTCCCCCCACCCCCTCCCCCTGGACCTGGAAGGAGGGGGCGGCGGCGCGTTAGAGCGTCCAAAACGGCCTCGGCGAGAAAGCACGAAGCACAAAAGTTGCTTCGGTGTTGGGCCAATATTGGCCTCCTGGGAGGGGTGGACCCTAATGATTAAGTACTCCCTTCTTTGACCGATTACCTCCAAGATGGCCCCAAGATGGCCACCGAGGCACCCAAGACGCTTCAAGTGGCCCCCGGCGCCGCCAAGAGGCCCCCAAGATGCCCCAACAGGCCTAAGCTACAAGAAGCTCTCCATCCAGAAACATCCGAAGAGACTACAAGAAACATCCAAAAGCACTCTGGCCTTTCTGTTCACCATCCTCCGGTTCCTCTTCCTCATCCGCCTAATGCCTAAGTATCCTTCTCTTTCTCCTCCTCCTCCTCCTCCTCCTCCTTCTCCCTTCTCCTCCTCCCTCCTCCCTCCCCCCCCTCCCCTTCCCACTCCTCCTCCTCCTCCTCCTCCTCCTCCTCCTCCTCCTCCTCATCATCATCCTCATCCTCCTCATCCTCCTGCTCTGGCTCCTCCTCCTCCTCCTCCTTCTCCTCCTCTTCCTACTCCTCCTCTATCTTTCCCGTTTTGAGGTATGACGGCGTCCTAGCCATTATTCCGCTGCGTGCTCCCCCACATGATTCTGGATGGGCGTCGTTTCTGGATGGTGTGGTGGGGCTACGCGAAACGTCTATACTTGATTGAGCTAATGATCGTGGCGGCGTCAGTAGTCCTCACCATCAACGCCACTGCCATGGGCAACATGACTGCCATCTAGAGCTACGACACACAACCAACAAAAAAAGCATCAGATAATAACAATCAAACAGTCAGCCAGCCAGTCATTCCTCATCATGCCCTTTCCTTCTCGATCCCGAGACCCAGCAGGTCTCAGCGGTATCCACCTGTCCCCGGAGGCCTCGTGAGGCGAAACAACCATTACGACGCCGATCACGACGGCAACGTCCTCGACCACGACCAAGATGCCGACGACACCGACCACGACGACGACGACGACGACGACGACAACGACGAGGGGTGGAGGGAGGAGAACCGAAAAGGTGGGAGGAAGGCAGGAAGGGTAATGACGAGAAGGAGGAGGAGAGGGAGGGAGGACGAGGAAGGAGACCACGACGACGACCACCACGAAGACGGCGAGGACGGCGACGACGGAGACGACGACGACAAGGACGACCACGACGAAGACGACGACGGGGCGCGAGGCGCTGGCTCGCTCCTTTCTCCGCGGCCATCAGAGCTCCAGCGTCGGAGGGCGCCTGGCCGACCTGCGCGGCGCGGGGGGGGGGAGGAGGAGGAGGAGGAGGAGGAGGAGGAGGAGGAGGAGGAGGAGGAGGAGGAGGAGGAGGAGGAGGAGGAGGAGGAGGTGGGGGGGGAGGCGGTACGGAGGCGGGGTGGGGCATGGCGGGGGGCTGCCAAGCGCGTCAGAGGAGCATGGTGAACTGGCCCGGTGGCAGCATGGTGACACGAGCGCGGGACGAGAACGTGAGCCCTGCCCCAAAGGGCCGAGGCCCCATACAGGAAAGGAGGAACCTTCCCAGGTGGAGGGCCCGAATACGAAGAGCGGAAAAAAGGTATCCCTCCAAGACTGGGGCTGCTCTTACCCCTCGCTACAGCTGCAGAGTGGCCCATGAGGTATGATTAACGAGGGTGTTGGGTCGAAACCGCCTGGTGAGGCTCGACTTGCTCGGGAGCATGCCGATCGGACAGGCTGCTGCGACAGTGGCGGGGCCAGGGCGCGGTGTTCTCACGATGGCGCCCGATCCTCTGCTGGACCGCAGCGGCTTTGGGCGCGCCCAGTGTGGGCGCGTACGGAAAACAGGGCACGATACCCAACAGCAAAAACGCGGTCCTAAACCACCCGCCGCCGCTGTGGGGCGGACGGCCTCCTGTCTCGAACGGGCAGCGTCCGCGGCGGCACCGGCAACGAACCCCGCTCAAAACGGGCAGGAGCTGCTGTCCAGGGCTTGGCCGAAACAGTGCTTTTTGTTTTCGCCTTGATTTCGTTATCTCTCGTTTTGTCTTCAATCCGCCGCTGCTGCAAAACGGCGTCGAAACGAAAACGGCCCCCGAAACGCCAAAGCACCGTTTAGGTCGACCCCTGATGCTGTTAGCCTTCGTCCCTATTCTTGGGTCAGGCGCGTGACCCTACTTTGGAGTCCCGAAACGGTGCGGTGACAGACAGTGCGGTGACAGACAGTGCGGTGACCTCGAAATCCCCCAAGATCTCGCCGCACGGTCCGTCAACGCACGATTTTGGGACCTCGGAGGCCCCAATCGCCCGAGACGTCCTCGGAGAACGGCCCGAGTCCCAAAACCGTGCGGTGACCCCGAATCCCCACCGACTCACCGGACGGTGTGGTCACCACCCCGCTTGGGGACCCCCCCCTCCCCGACGCCGGGGGTGCCACTGCATCGAGGAAGGCGCCCAGCAGCGCGGCCAAAACCAGCTGCATGCAGCAGAGTTCGCATTTCCCCCCCCTCCGCCCTGTTGTGTTCCCTGTCCCCCTTTGTCGCCCGATTCGACAAGAGGGGAGGGCGAGGGGGGGAGGGCGGGAGCGAGGGTACGGGGACGTCGAAGCGGGGGGGGGGAGACGAGTGAGGAGGAGTTGAATAAAGGGGAGTGAAGAGAGTGAAGAAGTGAGGAAGCGAGGAGGAAGTGAGGGAGCAAAGGGATAAACGAATGGATGACTGGATGATTGGGGTCGGCAGAATAAGGGAGGACCGTGGGAAATGGAGTGCCAAGCGAAACCTGACCAAGCAAAAATGGGAAGCGTCCTCATGTCGTTTTCGTCCACGAAGCTTCTCATACAACGCTCTTTTGATAACGTCGCAAGATCTCGGAAACGAAACTCAGACGACCACCAGCACTGCTACCGACTCATTGGGTTCGTGTATGCAGAAACTCTGCGTCCTGACGTGCTCCTGCGGCCTGCCGTGTCATCGTGGCACGCCGTGCTCGCCTGCCGCGCTGGAGTGGAGCGGAGCGTGGGGCCCCACAAGCAACAAAAAGACAGGGGGCACGCTGGCCCCTTCCAGCCACGCCAGGGGGACGGGGGCCACTCGGGCACACGGGGGGGGAGACGCCGAACACCCCATCCCCCAGCTCCGGAGCACAGCAGAAGGCGAGCGAGGCGCTGCTCCCACCTGGCGGCGACCAGGATCGGAGCCCACCCTCCAACCACCCGCGGCGCGCCCCGACTCGGCGGGCGCACCCCGATCACATGGGGAAGGCACCCTTCGCGGGAAAGCTACGAGGAGCCTCTCTGTCACTTTTGTCCACGCGCGGAGATCTAGCTGGCAGGCTGCATCTAGCCTGCGCTGCCGCTGACTCATGGGTCCGCCGCTGCGCGCGCCAGGCGGCGGCGGACGCTGCGCTCCTCGATGCGGGGCGCCGCCGCGTCGGACCGGTCCGTCACAGCCGAGGGCGGCGAGCCTGGCCGCGCGGCCTCGGGCCTCGGGAGTCAAGGGCGGCCGCTCCGAACACTCTGGCGCCGGCGCTCCATGGGCGACGGGGCCGCGGTCCTCGCCCCCGTCGCCATCAGCTGCGTCAGGGGCGGCACGATCCCCTTCTGGAAGGCCAGGGGGCCCACCGCGATCGCCGGCGCTGGCCTCGGGCTGCGCCCCGACCGACGCCCAGGTAGCGAAGCGTGGCCTCAACAAGGGAAGACGCGATGGCAAGCCGCATCTCGCCCACCTTCTGCTGGAGGCGCCCTGGGCGCAGACTGCGCCCACAGGGGCCCCTCTGGTTCTTGCCACTCTTGTCGGCGCAACCACGGACTGTGCAGGCCATTTTCCAGCAGGGTTCGGCGCCGCTTCTGCCTCCGAGCCCCTGGTGGGCCCCGCGCGACGCGCAGGCGAGCAGCTCCTCATGGCCATCGCCCTGCCCGCAGCCCCCGCAGGCCAGCGCACGCCGCGCGGCGACGAAGGCAGCTGCACCGACTGCCCCTCCACGGGCTGCAGCAGCAGACCTGGCCCCGTCGAGGCTCTGCTGCCGGGCCGCCTGCTCGCCCTGGCGGGCTGGCTCCGCGGCAGGCGCCGCCGGCGCCGCGCGAAGTCCTCGCCCGCCTCTCTGCCTGGAGCCCGAGCGCTGCGCGCGCGGCGCAGCGGCCTGGCCGACGAGCCGCCGCGGCGCACGCCCTTCCAGCACGGGGCACTCGAGGCGCCCGCGCCGTGTGGCGCGCCCCTGCGGCGCCCGCACGCAGGGCGCCCAGCGCGCGCCCGCCCCCGAGCTCTGCGCAGCCGCGCGCTCGAGAGGTGCGAGGCGGAGGCCTGCTGCCCCGCCTCGCCCCAGAACGCCTCCTTGCCCACATCCTCCCCGAGCACCTTCCTCGAGACTCCTCCTCCTCCTCCTCCTCCTCCTCCTCCTCGTCCTCGTCCTAATCCTTCTCATCATGGATCCTCCCCTCCTCATCCTCCTCCTGCCAAGTTTTGGAGTTCACGATACCTATTGCAATTGAGGGCTCTTGGGTAAGGTCTGGAAAGCGTCAGGCAGGGCTGCGTGACGATGATGTGTGCGAGAGGTGCACCGCGCTGTCCGAGACAGCGCTCCTCCGCAAATGGCTGTGGTCTTGCAATGGCGATAGCAAGGCACTCAAGGATCAGGAGCATCTTGTACCAGGAGCGCTGGCCGAACAGGACAGCGCCCCATGGTTTCTGGCACGGGGTATCATACCGTCTAGCTGGACGCAGGTGCCGCCACCCCCCAGCGAGCAGACCAAGGGCACAAACAACATGGAGGTGCATCTCTCCCCAGGCTTTCTGGGCACAGGCACTCGCGACTCCCCGCTAGTTGCCTTCGGCGATGCGTCAGAAGGTGTAGATACACAGAACGTTCGGCTTCGCCGTTTGGGGGATGGGCGTTGCTGTGATGAGTAGTTTTTCTCCACCAGTGGTTAGTCCTTTCATGTTGGGGCCTCTGTGGGGTTCGCAAGCTCAGCAGACGGTGCCTCGAGGTGAGCTTGAGTGCGTGGAGACCTCGATCGAGTATTCATGTGGTGTGCTAGTGTATGTGGCAGGCAACGATTAGGTGTGTATAGATTGATGGCAATCCCTGCATGCTAGGCCTTCGGGTCAGAACCCGGACCTTTGGAGATCCATCAACGCCATGCTCGTGAGTCAGTCTCGCACGCCAGCCGACATTGTGGTGCTCCAAGTCTCGTCGCACTTGACTGCGCAGGAGCACCTCGCACGAGGTATTGCCAGTTGCCTGGTGCAGGGCAATGCAGTGGTTGATGCTATTTTCTGCAGCTAAGAAATGGGGGGGTCCTGGGTTGCACAGAACGCGAGTGGCCACCGTGGAGAGGAATGCAATTCTGGTCAGGCGTCGCTCGCTGAGAGCTGCTGTCGTCGCCATTCGTTTCGAGACGGAGGTGAAGCGGAAGGTGAGACGAGACAGGCTGCAGGCTGACGCAACCGTGGAATATATGCCTCCTCCTTTTTCCTATCACTGCGCCCAGTACTATAGCACGCTCTGCGACGGCGTACACCCTGGCTGATGACGGGCGTTCGTGCACTGTGTGTAGGGGGGGTCCCTTCCAAGGCTGCTGTGAGTCCCTGGCTTAAAAATGGTTGTTTCCATCTAGAGGTTTACGAGGGCTCCCCCGAGGTCGGGGTATACATATCGCTGGCGGTTGGGCCCACCCCTCACATGCACCGTTAAAACACATTACAGATATATGTCTATACATATATATATATATATATATATATATATATATATATCACTCGGAGTGTGGATTTGGGCAACTTGCAGCTTCCTCGGCCAGTCTCATATTCGAAGATTGGGGGACGTTTGCAAGGCTCCAGTTTCCAAAACCCGTCAGGAGTATCTCGACAGGGTCTCGCGTGATATGTTCCCCAAGGCATAGGCTTGGATTGGTCGTTGTTCTTCACTCTTGAAAGGGCGGTAACCCTGGTAATCCTGCTCCTCCTCCCCCACCTCCTCCTCGATCCTCCTCGATCCTCCTCGATGCTCCTCGATCCTCCCCGATGCTCCTCGATCCTCCTCGATCCTCCTCGATCCTCCTGATCCTCCTCCTCCTCCTCCTCCTCCTCCTCCTCCTCCTCCTCTTCCTCCTCCTCGTCCTCGATCCTCTTCGATCCTCCTCCATCCTCGTCCATCTTCCTCTCATTAGCATGGGGGAAACGGGTCCTGGACCCTGGGGCCTTCTCCCAGGACGAGATCTTCATCCTGCTGAGCGGTTTTCTGACAGTGCTGGGGCCCGTGGAGGGCCTCGGCAAGCCCGAAAAGGGGGAAAACCTCGGGACCCCGTTCCCCTCAGGATCCCCCTTCCCCGCAGGCCTTCCCCCAGGACGAGATCTTCGTCCCGAGCCGCCTTCTGACAGCCCGGGGGGGCCCGCGGAGGATCCCAGGAGGACCGGACGGCGAGAACCACGTGAGGAGGGAGGAGGGAGGAGGGAGGAGGGAGGAAGGAGGAGGGAGGGAAGAGGGAGGAGGGAGGAGGGAGGGAGGAGGGAGGAGGGAGGAGGGAGGAGGAGGGAGGAGAGGAGGAGAGGAGGGAGGAGGGAGGAGGGAGGGAGGAGGGAGGAGAGGAGGGAGGCTCCCCCCGTGGCCAGCTCCTCGACCCTCCGCCCGCCGCCCCATCCCCTGCGCTGGCCGACCCCCTCCGCCCGCGGCCCCCGCCTTGCGCCGGCGGATGGCGGCCGCTTCCGCCGCGAGCAGCGCGGCGGGCGCGACGCCGTAGGCGCCTGGGGAGGCGCGCGCGCGCCTCGACGGCGGCCTCTCGCCCTCGGAGAGAGGGAGCGGCGGCCAGGATCGGCGAGCATCGGCTCGCCCGGCCTCCTCCGAGCGCCGCGGGTCCCTCTGCCGCGGGAGCTCTGCGGTGAGGAGCTGGCGCGCTCCCAAGTAAGACGAAGCCGGGGTGAGGATACATCGAGAGTCCCTGAGATCTGTCGGCTTTGGGGGATGTCTCGGGCGCCGCGGCCTTCTCGGAGCGTTCCGGGACGCTCTGAGAGCGTTCCGGAACGCGACGGATTTATCATCGTCCGACATACGTAGACCGCCCCTCGAACGGGGCGTCCCCCCCAGGAGCGACACGCAAAAGGCGGCCACTCCTAGGATGAGGGGGTGCGCCGTCCGGGGCCTCTAGTCTATGCTTACCTACAAGCGCCAAGGGGACTCGGACACTCCTCCTTTTCCTCCTCCTCCTTCGAGGAAGGGGCCTTCTTAGCAGGCCCGAACCACGACCCGCAAACCAGACCCTTCTCGCGTCGTGAAGAGATCACGACGGGAGGTACTTGACAACTTTCTGCCCTTCTGGGCACTGGGACCGTCAGCAAAACGACTCGTCGCACAAAGCTGGCCCATGTCAGGGGGTGTAATGTACTGCCTCTTCCTCCTCCTCCTCCTCCTCCTCCTCCTCCTCCGCCTCCTCCTCCTCCTCCGCCCTCGCCCCTCCCTGGTCTTCTCCGATCCCCGACCACACTTCTCCTCCTCCTCCTCCTCCTCCTCCTCCTCCTCCTCCTCCTCCTCCTCCTCCTCCTCCATGCCCTGTCGCACCCCGAGGCCAGTTTTAGGGCGGGCCGGGCGCTTCGCCTGATAATTCCTCAACATGTATGACTCCGAAGCTTAAAACATGTTAACCGCTTCACAACCGCTTGACGGATTGAGGGCGGGTCGTTTTCAAAATGTGGCTCTCGCCTTCGCGCCGCGCACATTCGTTTGAAACATTTACAAGAGTTTCGCGGATTGGGGGCGGGTCGTTTTCAAAATATGGCTCGCGCCGTAGCGCCGCGCACATTCGTTTTAAACAGTTGCAAGAGTTTCACGGATTCCCATGATCAACGTGCCAGAAATTGCGTTTTGGAGGGATTCGTGATTATGCCGGTGCAACAGTTATTTTGGTTCGCAGGGCTCAAGTCCCTAACATGGCGTTCTGGCACGATTCCGGATCGTCAAGACGCAGCAGTCAGGTTGATCCGTGGCGTTGAAATCCCGAGAACAATGTTTCGGATCTTCAAACGGCTATCTTCCAACGAGGCAGTTCCCTCAATGGAAATGAGCCGCTGTAGGGGCCTATGAAGAGGGAGCTTGGAGGAAGGGTTAATTCCAACATTGTTGATGACTCTTGGGTTTACACTGGTCCGCCTCCTCCTCCTCCTCCTCCTCCTCCTCCTCCTCCTCCTCCTCCTCTTCGCCCCCCTCCCCTTTCCAAACATTCGCCCTCATCGAAACTGTTCTCCCCTATCCCTCTCCGCCCTCCTCCCCCCTCGTCCCTCCTATCCTTTCTCCTCCTCCTCCTCCTCCTCCTCCTCCTCCTTCTCCTCCTCCTCCTCGTCCGCCTCCTCCTCATCCTCATCATCTTCCTCTTCCTTTTCCTCATCCTCCTCTTACTCCTCCGACTCCTCCTCTTTATCATCGTCCATCCCTCTTTTCCTCCTCCCGTTGCCCTCCGACTGGTGTACTGGCGTACTGCCTTGCACTGCCCGCAAACACAGCAGCATGACTACGCCTGCAGCCCAAAATTGCAGCCAAGGCCCCGGAAGGTGGGGCCCAAAATCTAGTGGCTCCCGCACCCTTCTCTCAGGAAGGCCGCCTGCGCAAACGGTCCAGAAGCCTCGACTCCTCCTCGCTCCTTCTCTTCCTCCTGGCTCCTTCCTCGTCGCTCCTCCTCCTCCTCCTCCTCCTCCTCATCTTCCTCCTCCTCATCATCAGCAGCATCATCATCAGCATCATCGCCATCATGATCAGCATCATCATCATCATCATCATCAGCAGCAGCAGCAGCAGCATCATCCTCATCATCATCATCATCATCATCACCATCATCACCACCACCACCACCACCATCATCATCATCATCATCATCATCATCATCATCAGCAGCATCGTCATCATCATCGTCATCACCATCATCATCATAATCACCAGCATCGTCATCATGAGCATCGTCATGATGAGCATCACCAGCATGAACATCTTCATCAGCATCATCAACATCACCATCATTATCATTATCGGCAGCAGCATCACCAGCAGCATCAGCATCGTCATAATCAGCAACATCATAATCAGCATCATCATCATCTTCAGCATCAGCAGCGTCGTCGTCATCATCAACACCACCATCATCACCAGCATTATCACCCTAATCATCATCACACATCATCATCAGCAGCATCATCATCAGCAGCAGCACCAGCATCATCAGAATCATCAGCAGGATCATCAGCGTCATCATCAGCATCGCCATCATCATCATCATCATCATCATCATCATCATCATCATCATCATCATCATCATCATCATCAACAGCAGCATCATCATCAGCATCATCAGCGTCATCAGCATCGACATCATCATCATCGTCCTCATCAGCAGCATCATCAACATCAACAGCCTTGCTGGTTGGTCATCATCGCTCCTTTCTCCTCGCTCCTCGCTCCTCGCTCCTCGCTGCTCCTACTCCATCTCTTCTTATAATATTCCTCGTATGTGTTTGGCTATTATTCTGTTTCTGCTTATGATTATTATTATGATTATTCCTCCTCCTCCTTCTCATCCTCCTACTCCCCCTCCTCCTCAACCTCCTCCTCAACCTCCATCGCCATTCATATGATCCTCCTCCTCCTTCCCCACCTTTTCTGGCGCAGGCTGCTGAGCGCCCACGGCGCTTGTAGCGTCATACCTTCTCCACCTCCTCCTCCTCCTCCTCCTCCTCGTTCCGCCGTGCCGCAAAGCAAGACACACCGAGGGAACAACGGCCCGAGACTCGCTTCCCCGCCGTCGGCCTGCTGGGGCCCTAGCCGGGCACCCGGGCCGCCCAGAAAACAGCTCGGTATGGACCACCCAAAACTTTACAGACCGCACCGACAGGAAGTTGGGGGGACCGGTTCCCCCCGACGCGCGGGACACTTTTACTGTTGAGTCGGGCGTGTCCCTCTACAGGAGGAGTATTCAAAAATACAACAACAAAAAAACCTGCTCGTCAGCGGCGAGGCGGCGAACTCCGCTCCAGCGAGAAGCTAGATAGGGGCACTAACTAGCGAAGTGGCCGGCAAGCAAGGAGCGGGAGGGGTGGGCGGCGGAGATGAAGAAGGGACGCACAGACGCCGAAGAGTTCGACGATAAAAAACAAAAGAGAAACAAACGTCTGGGGACGATCTTATTGACTATGTTTGACTACGTGGGGCTTTTTTTGACAATTTTTTATCTTGCGTCCAAAATCCCCTCTGTAGGAGGACGTGTCCGACCCAATTTCGCTGCGGCCAGGCGCGCCAGGCGTGGAGACGCGCCGCCAAACGGCCCAAACCCGAGGACGCGGGCGGGGGGCGGAAGACCCGGCGCGGGTTGACCCCGCCCTCGGCCGCTGCGGGGGGCACCCGGCGTCCACGACCCAGCTCCATGGGGAAGTCGTCTCCCCACCCTCCGAGATGGCGTACAGTACCGGGCGCGGCCGCAAGAGACCCTCGCCAGGAAACCCAACCCTGAAAACCCGCGCGCGAGGTGCACCTGAGGGGAAACCCGGAGCACCCCGAATGCAGCCGCTCCCCGGCTGCGGGACGCCATCGCGCGGCGCGCGGAGCGAAGAAACCCAGGGGCACCCTGACGAAAAGCAGGTGGTTTCTTGATGCGCTCCCCCACTGCAGAGGTCTTGCGCCACGGCGCTCCCGCGGGCCGCCAGCGCGGCACGCAACACAGGAGACGAGGGCACTCACGAGCGAGCTCACGCGGGAAGCTTCCGCGCCCACGTCGGCGAGGACGACCCCGCTCTTCTGAGTCGCTCGGGTGTCCTCGTGCTCGTCCAGTCCCCGTTGACACGAACTGGGGCAGATTGATACCAGGGCTAGGCGGGAGTCAGGCGGACCGGGCAAGAGTAGGAGGGGGTAGGCCGAGGCAGGAGGGGTTTCGACCTCCGACATACCAGCGTGGTTGCTGAATGTAGCTTGGGGAGGAGAACGACGACGATGCGGACGGAGAAGAATAGTCATGGCAACAGCGAAAAATCGCGGAGGACGAGCAGGAGTCTGGGGAGGAGGAGGAGGAGGAGGAGGAGGAGGAGGAGGAGGAGGAGGAGGAGGAGGAGGAGGAGGAGGAGGAGGAGGAGGAGGAGGAGAGGGCCGAGGAGGGAGCGAGAGGAACGGGACAAGAGGAGGAGAGCGAGAAAGAGAAAGAAATAACAGAAGAGATGGAAGAGGCGGAGGAGGAGGAGGAGAACAAAGAGGACGAGGAGAAGGTGGAGGAGGAGAAGGAGAGGAAGACGAATAGAAGAGGAAGAGGACGAGGAGGAGAAGGATGAGAAGAAGAAGAGGGACAAGGAGAAGGAGGAGGAAGCGCAACAGAAGGATGAGGCAAGTGCTCACGAAGTAGGATCAGGACGAGGTCGGGGGGTGAAGGGGGGGGGGGGCAGAGGAGGAGGACGACGAGGGCGAGGAGAAAACGGAGAAGGAGGGCGACGAAGAAAGGCGTTCCCCCCCCACCCCCCCCCTCCCGCCTCCCTCCCCCCCGCCCCGGGCACCGATGGCCGCTGGAAACGGCCTACGCGGCTTCTGCGGCTCGCCTCCGGGCGCGGTCAACAAGGCCGCCTGCGCGCGGAGTCTCCTTCCTCCTCATCATCCTCCACCTCCGAAGGGAGGAGGTGGAGGAGGAGGAGGAGGGGGATGAAGAGGGGGGAGCGGGTCGTCGTCGTCTCGCATTCCTCCTCCTCCTCCTCCTCCTCCTCCTCCTCCTCATCATCATCATCATCATCATCATCATCATCATCTCATCATCATCAGCATCATCATCATCATCATCATCATCATCATCATCATCATCATCATCATCATCATCATCATCATCATCATCATCATCATCATCATCATCATCATCATCATCATCATCATCATCATCATCATCATCATCATCATCATCATCATCATCATCATCATCATCATCATCATCATCATCATCATCATCATCATCATCATCATCATCATCATCATCATCATCAGCATCATCATCATCATCATCATCATCATCAGCATCATCAGCATCAGCATCAGCATCAGCATCAGCATCAGCATCAGCATCAGCATCATCATCATCATCATCATCATCATCATCATCATCATCACCATCACCATCACCATCATCATCATCTCCCTCCTCTATCTCCTCCTCCTCCTCCTCCTGCGCTGGTCGTCGGTCGTAGCGCAGGAGGGGGGCGACGTCGACGAAGGAACCCCTGAGCGCCACCGAACTTCGCACAGCGCGCCCCGCGGTGCGCAGCGCACGGTAAGTTCTTCGAGCCCTCGCGCCGCCGCCCCGGAAAAAGGGCGCCCCAGCGGCCCGGAGCCGCGAGGCACGGAGCGCGGCTACATTTTGCGACCCCGTCGGCTCACCCAGAAGAATGAAGCACGAGGGGGAAAGAGGAGCTGGACAAGGGGGATGCCGACGACGACGAGCGCGATGGTGATGACAGTTCCTGATGCCATGCAGCTGCGCAGCTCGGCGCAGCCCGACACTGGGGGGGCAGCGGGGGGCAGCTCAGCCTGCTGAGCTCGAAGCGATGCAAAGCGCCGATCCACACACCCCGTCGTCGAGATCCTCTCACTGCACGAGCCCCTGGAGGTCTCGACCACTTCCCCAAGGCCAGCTCGTCGTCCCGAGTCCTTCTCTGACGGCCCCTGGGGTCTGGCCAGGGCCCCCCAACACCGACAAGAGGCCTTGCGTCGTGCCTTCTTCACGACGCGAGGGTGGCATTGCCCTTCGGGTCGTGACTCGGGCCTCTGGGGACCGTTCGGGACGATTCGGGCACTCCGGGAGCGCCTTGGGCGAGGCGCAGCTGTTGGAAAGCACCCCCCGAGGCAGGCGAACCTCCGAGAGCCGAAGAGAACGTCCGAAAACGCACGACGCCAGGGTGCCTGGGTGGCCTGAGCCCACGCTTGCACAATTCGCGAAAACGCCCCGCCCCACCCCTCCTCCCCCCTGGTCACGTCACGATTCGCGCTGCCGCCGTCTGGGAGCCAACCATTCATACACACTCCCAGACGGCGCCAGCGCGAATCGCGACATGACTGGCCCCCTCCCCCATCCCCTCCCCCCGTCCCCTGGTCACGCTCGTTATCTGAAGGGCAAGTTAAGGAGTGATCTGTCACAGGGGGGGGAAATGTCGACCTAGAACCGACGATACATCGCCGATAGATCGGTGATAGGCCCCGACAGCACATCCCTACGTTCCTGGGCGGGGTGAGGCTATCTGGCCCCTATCGGCGATGAATGGGCGATTGGGGGTCGATGCTCCGCCCTCTGTGCCTATCCCCACCCCATGGTTGCCCCCGAGCCACGCCCGGCTATCGCCGTGGGGATGAAAGCACGGACTCCTGCCGATTGAATTCAGCAGGGTCCGACTGCCCCAGCATTCCTATAGGCCTACCACGAAATTGTCTTCGAACCCTCAATTATCATCAGAACAAAAACAAAAGCTATATAGCATAAATCCAGCGTGTTAAAACACAACGGCCTCGGTCAGAAATGCTCTGAGGACATGCCGTGCAGACGAGAAATGGATGTCTGAACTTTTCTCGGTGGGCCTGTGCGCAAACCGGAACGCCTTGCCGGTGCTCGGTTGAAAGCGCTGCAGACCTTCGGCGCGCGCGTCGGTGCGGCCGGCTGCGGCATACCGCGCCCCGGAAGGCCCCAGGGGCTCTCCTCCGGAGCGACATGCTGCGTGCCAGGCCGCCGCGGGGGGTCCCTCGGAGGGGAGCGCACGCAGGGAGGAGGGCGGACTCCGCCCTCCCCTCGCAGGAAAAGGTACCCATGCCGTCAGGTCGGGCATGCCCTTCCACAGGCGGATGTTGAAAGAATCAAAAAAGAACTAACAAAGCATCGAAAATAGACAGGCACGAAAAATCGTCACCAGACTATATTTTTCCAAATTCTCAAATTTTCCTCCTGTAGGGGGACATGCCCAACTGAACCATGCGGCTACACTTCGTCCGATCTCCCCGTTTTCGCCCTCATGGGAGGCCCTCGTCGCCACCGCTGGGTTCGCCTCAACATTCTGGTCAGAACGCACCCCAGGAGAGGTCTGGGGAGCAGCGGCATCGGTACCCAGCGGAGGGGGCGAGGGAAGATGGCGAGAAGGAGGGGAGGGGAGGAGGGGAGGGGAGGAGGGAAGGGCGAGGGCGAGGGCGAAGGGGAGCAGGGGGATGGAGGAGGGAGGGGAGAGGAGAGGAGAAAGAGGGGAGGGCGGGATCAACGGACCTGAGCGCCCACAGCTTCGGAGCTTCAAGGGGGAGGAGCGGGAAAACGAGAGGAAGGGCGGAGAGGGAGGAGGGGAAGGAGTGAGAGGGATTAGGGCAGAGGGTGATAAGAGGGGAAGGGGGGGACGAGGGAGGACGAAGGAGGAGGAGGAGGAGGAGGAGGAGGAGGAGGAGGCGGAGGACGACGAGGGCAACGGCGATTAGAAATAGAGGGGGGGAAGGGGAGTGGGAGGAAGGGGGAGGAGAGAGGATGACAGAGAACGATGGCGAAGAGAAACGGACAAGAGAACTGGGCACGAAGAACAGCGCACACACCACTGATGTCGCAATACGCGCGGCTCGCAAGGACGACGGCGGGGAATGGAAAGCCCTGGGGTCCCTGAGGTGCCCCGGATCTGGACAACGTCGGCGCGCTGCCCCGAAACGCTGACCGCAGCATCGAATTGGCGCACATCGGCCGGGATTCCGGCCAGCGCCCTCTCCCGACCCAGGCCCGCCCCCATCGGTCATCACAGGCACATCCCTGCACGACGGAGAGCGCCCGCCGGAAAGGAGAGGGGCCCATCACCGTGCAGAGCGACATGTTGTCGTAGTTCGCGCTCCGTCCACGGCATTCATCCACACACTGTCACTGCGTCGGCAAAACGCGCAAGTCACGGAACACCTCTTAGGGGCGGGCAGCGACCGATTCGCAGCGGAGGTTCTGACGCCGAAAGTGGGTGGGTGACAAACAGCTGTGAGATCCCGAATGGCGAGAACCAGATCAGTTTGGCGGCACGCACAAGGGGGTAAAGGGAGGGGGGGAATGCTTCGTTTAGAAAGAGCCGACTTCTTTCAGGGAAGACCAGACTGGGTAACACCAAAACGGGGTAACAGACCCACCATGGGATCCAAACGGAGATACTGCAACGGCCGAAACAAACAACGGCACGGCCGCTTTTCTGCAACGGGAAAAAACTGCACTGCACTTTTCGGCAACTAGTTACGGGGAAAAAAAAAGCTGCCAGCCCCGCAGACTGGGCAACAGAGGGCCCAGCACAAAAAGCTGCAGTGCAACAGCCGAAGCTGTCCAACGCAAGCGACACGTGGCAAATGCTCTGCTTTGCACGCGACGGCCGAAAGCAATTGGACCGCAACACGGTGCGCGTCGGTTGCCTCGAACTGGCCGTCCCCTCATGTTACCCCGTCGGCTGCTGCCCCGTCTCGAGCTGCCCTGATTCTGAGGAGGCGCCGGCCCTACCCACACATCTAGGAGGAGGAGGTGGAGGAGGAGGAGGGGGAGGAGGAGGAGAGGAGGAGGAGGAGGAGGAGGAGAAGGCCCGCGCCTTCTGAGAAGTAGGAGTGCTTCCAGGAAGCCTTCCCCCCTCACCCTACCCTCAGGTCAGGCATGTCCTCCTACAGGCAGATTGTGGGAGAAACATGGTATATCTATATGTGTCTACATAATGTGTCTATAAAATCAAGTGATACTCGAAAATGATCGACAACAATCGAAAAGTCGTCTCCCGACTATTTCGTAACTATTTTTGATTGTTCCTTCTGTAGAGGGACGCACCCGACTTACCCCAACCCCCCCACCCCCAACTGCGCAAGGCCGAGCCTTGAGAAGCGCAGCAACAGCGGCCAGGTGCAAAGGGTCGGCCGCGCGGCCGTGTACGAAGGGAAGCCCGGGGACACACACCAACGAGGAGGCACACAGCTCCCGGAACTCCCCGTATTTCCGGAAACTGGAACACATACATTACTTGTGGCGGGTTCTTTTTTCAATCCCACGACTTTTTGACGGTCGGAAAAAGCGTCGGTGTATAGAGTTCGTTTCCCAATATTTCCCATACTTCCTGGACGCTCGCCTTCCCCCCCACTCCCTGTACTTTCCCACGTCTTCCTGGGCATCGACGGTTATATTCAGGAGGAGAAGATACACACAGACACAATGAATCGTCGATGCCCAGAAAATGTGGGAAAATATGGGACGCGGGGGGGAAGACAAAAACCCAGAAAACATGGGAGAATATGGGGACTCCTGTGATCTGTGTCTGCTTCTTTGTGTATCCCAAGGCCCCTTCATACATGTGTGTGTGTCCGTGTGTTTTTTCTTCCCCTTCTGCAGACCGCTGCATGCCACAGCGGGGGGGCCCGAGAGGGGGACGCGCCCTCTGGCGGGCCAGGGGCTAGCTGACCGCGGGGCACGCGGCGTGCGAGGGGCTCGTCGAAAGTGTCGGGCGCAGGGCGAGGGGGAGAGGAGAAGGGAGAAGGAACAAGAGAGGAGCTCGTCGAAATTCTCGTGGAGTGCAGGGGGAGTAGACGAGCGCGTTCCACTACTCGCAAAGTGACTACTC